ACTGGGTCGCCAGCCATAACATCAACAGCAGCTTGACGAGATAATCGTCCGGCTCTAGCAGCACGTCGGACCAATACAGCATTATGACGCCTACCATATTCGACCAGTTGCTCTAGTGATGGTGCATTACCATAACGATGCAAAATATCTTCACAAACATCATCAGGGAAGCTACCGAAGAGTCGATCAGATACGTCGTCTGTAGTCAACGGCACATGTCGTTGTGAATCAACCGCCATTCGGGTGTAATCAAACCTTAGATAGAATTGATCGAAGGTCTCCCGTTTAGTATCCCAACTGAGCCTCTCCCATCGATCAATCAATATACGACGGGATTCTATAGAAAGAAAACGTTCTACCAACTCAGATCGAATACATCCGGCTCGCCGAACAGCTTTACGATAACTGGAATATCCTTGTTGGAGTAAACGTCTATCAACACCATCAACCACGGTCTGTCGAATAACATCAGACAAACACCTTTCCAAGTAAATGCCTTGGAAGAAAGCAGCACTAGGACCATAACCAATGTCCCACGAAGGAGTGCGTTCACACTCATGTAGGAAAGAGAGAACCGACCGAATATCTTTAAAACCTTTGAATAATCCTCCAGGTGGCAATGCCGCCTTCTCCGCTCTCTTTACCGAGTTATCATAGATCTTCTGCAGTTCACTCGGAGACAACCCATTCAATAAGCCGTCAGCATCTCCAGAACCTCTTGCCTCTATGAGACCAGCCTTATCTGTTGGAGGCACAACAATCGACGGCTTTAGCGGAGCTTCCTCTGCTATTGATGATAAAGTAACATCAGGCCCGTCAGCAACATCGGATTCAGCTTGTTGAGTAAATGTGACCACACCTGGATCACTCTGAGCAGTACCAACTGGCCTTACAGCCCCTCTGGGTTGTCGACCATTTAATCTCCGAGAAGGAGAGAAAATACTTCTAAGGAAAGAGAAACACGATACATTGGCAGTTCTACTAGTTGGCAGAGATGGCGACGTACCAGTGACAGGCAGATTAAGAGACATTGCTGTTAATCTGTCTGCCAAACGACGGATCTCCTCATCATCAACCGAGTTACCATGGCTTCTAGCAGCAGTAGACATCACAATTATCAATCAAAGTGAATCTCGACGAACCGATAGTAGTTAACAGTTGAAATATATCCCGGTAGAATGTGCCAGTAATTGAGTATCAGACCTTGGATTGCTTAACACAAGAACCCAATTACCAGTAAGTGGTAATTAATAGATAGCAACAGGAATGAAATCTATGAACTTATGTATTACAGCTGATTGGGACTAGCTACAAAGGAGACAAGCTAAGAATCTCACCACAATTACACAGAGCAACCTGCTGACACAACACTTAGCCAAACCGGCACAAGGATCGCAGCTGCGACCCAAAGGCAGGAGGTTCAGCTCTACGGCGCCTGCTTCTAACACACACCTCGCAGGACATGGTGGCCTGCCGAAGTCGCGAACCATCTTGGGCCAGTATAGATGGTAGAGCTTGAGAACTATGCCGTAGAGCTTATTAGACGCTGGATGAGCATACAAGTCGTGCAAGATGCTGATCACCACCGAGCGCATCGCCAAGGGAACGTAGTATTGACTACCGCAAACCGCATGGGACCTGCAGATATTCCCATCCTTATCGATGATATATGTTCGTCGTATACGCTGAACCTCGGTGGCCGTGAGCTCTACCGGCTCATGTGCCAGAATCCTTCTGATCTGCTTGCAGTGGGGGTCGGAACCTTGGTCAGTTAGGACTTCCTCTACCAACTTGATAGCTGAAGTTGATAGAGTAGACATCGAATCGGGCGTCTAATAAAGGTTAACTCGTTAACCTAAGTTGAACACCGGTACGGATGGTCGCGTCGCTTCGCTAGCAATTAGTACTGCACTAATGAAACCGTGAGGCGAGTGGATCCCCCTGTGCCTGCTGGACAGCCTAGAATAGCCGAGGGCAGAGGGGGCTTATACATTTTAGTTTCGCTTGTCGTGAAGCTCATGAATTACGTTGCTCTGGGTTAGCATACTTTGGGCCTGGTCGTTTTTATGCATCCTACAGTGAACCTCGCGTCGTTCGGGCTCTTTCAAAGAGCCCGACCAACGGGCTCTTTGGAAGAGGACTCTTTTTCTCGACATTATCGGCACGAAGCCATTTCCAATGGATACGAGGGACTGCTTTAAATATCAATTGATCCATCCACTCATATAGTTGAATACAAATGTTGGGAGCCGAGACGATCTCCTGAACCGGGTTGCCTGGCTGGGGGAGTGTCGTTCACTGTCGACTCAGCCGTTTGCCCAGAACCATTTACCATACTTAGTTACGCAAGAAGATACTTGTCCAATGTTTATATCCAATCAATAGAGTATGGTGTAAACCCAGCAACTTAAAGGAATACACAGAAGTCTACCAACCCACGGAGAATAACCAACAGTACTTGTAGATAAGCCTTACTTCTACTCAGTCTTATACAGACTAACTCAGTGCTAGGCTACGCA